AATATAAACAGGATCCCAAACTTTGTGGGATGAAATGAATAAAACTACAGAGAGAAGCCAAAATCCAAACAATATTCATCCAAATCTTGATTGTGAAAATTTTAGTGATTATTTATTAATATGGGAACAGACATTTCAAACACAATTAAAGAAGACAAAACAGAATGGAAAAACCCAAATTGTATTCACACACTGAATTTTACGGAACTTGAGTCTGGCGATATTTAAAATAATCTGGAACGTTTATCTGAAAAACCATGATGTTCATAATTTCGATACATAGGCTACTAAGACTAGCATCACATTATATATGTGGAATTTCTATGTTTTATTATAATTAAATCATTATTGAAGGGTATGGTTCCATAGTGGAAAGCCTCAATATTCCCCATGTGCCAAGGTAAAGGCAACAACGTCATAACAAGTATAGCCCAACCTCAGTGGCATGCCATGCACAGTTGTTCAATCTCCATTAATGACAGGAAAGTAGCCATATCGAAGATTAACAAAATAGAAATAACCTATTGGACTTGTTGCGACTTTGAGACCTACGATTTTCTGCACTTGCTTGTGTTCTTGGGTAAAAACCTCGTCCTTTGGATGAGGCGTTAACCCATTGGTCTCGTTCTCATAATAGCACATGCGCACAAAAAAGAACTACACTATCCGAAAATAGGTAGCATAGGCCTATCTTGTGTTGTACTGACAATATACAGGCTCTGAATATTGCGAAAACCACAGGTATCCAGCGATATATATACATACATATATATATCTGTCTCTTATACACATCTAGATGTGTATAAGAGACAGATTATATACAGGACAATAATAAACTTATCCAAACAAGGCATTCCATTTATGATTTACCTTGGAGCTATTCAGCATGTTTTGCGTCACTGTAATTACTAATAAATTGTTTTTACTACTCACTTCTACGAAATTGAAAAATACATTGTGCAATACAAACGGGAAACATAAATTAACTGTAATTCCACGCTAAAATCTCGGACTTTTTTTTTTTTAATTGTTGGCTTAGGCCTAACTTGAATGTTTCACCATAAAGATACCCACAATTATGTTGGATATCCCCTACCTTTTCATCGCCCTTCTTGTATGGTGTCTTTTCTATATAGAAAAAAAAATCTAAAACATGTAACACGTCAAAATTTAACTTAATACTAATTTGTGCAGGCCTTTCTAAATGTGTTTTAAAACGATATGTGGAGTTTTTGGTCTTTTAATCATCTCTTCCACCTGCAAGTGATGCAGACGTTTTCCGTTGTGGGTGGGGGATGAAGCTGCACGATACAATATACAATAATTAATGTTCTTCAACCAGGAATATTACAGCGGGCATTTGATTCCGTGAGCTTCAGAGACATAGGCACATTTAATTCCAGGCGCGTAACAGGGGTCTTGGGTCAGGGGGCGGGGGGCAAAGGTAATAATTTTCCCGGTTGGTAATTTATCATACCCACCCCCCCCCACCCCCCATATAGAAAACAATACGACATAGGGCTTATCTTATTTATAATATAGGCCACACACGTGTGTTTGAAATTAAATATAAGCATTTTAATCATGGTTTTATTTATTACCTTTCACCATCAATACACATTGAGGCCCTTCTTTTAGGTAAAACGATCTATGTTCTTTCTATTTGAGTTGGGACTATTATGTGTTCAATTACCTTAGAAGGCAAAGCAGGACAAGCACAAGTTCTCACCGTCAAAATGCTTATATATGGCCACAAACGTTTTTTAAAACTGAATATAATCATTTTCATTATGACTTTATTTATTACAAACATATTCTTTCAACATCACTACACATTGAGGCCCTTCTTTTAGGTAAAACGATCTATCTTAAATTTTCTTTCTTGAGTTTGGGACTATTAAGTGTTTAATTAGAAGCTTAACCCTAAAAAATGCGCGCAAAGCGCACAAAAAACTTTTGTGTTTTTAATTCTAATTTCGCCTGAATTGATCAAAACTCCCTAAAATGTACAATTTTCAGAGGAAATTGGCCTACTGTAAACAACAAATGCTCTCGAAGCGCGCGAAATTTGAGATTTTTAGGTACATTCAAGGGCTGAAAAGGGCATCTTCAAGGGGTGGGAAAGATTTCCACAGATGGATATTTTTCCCTTGTCCCCCGGTGGTTACGCCACTGCGGAGAATATCTGGTGGTTTAGATCAAAGGAGCTATGGACACTTTTTGAAGTGGAGAAGGGGTTGCAGGGTGTTGTGAGTCTGTTCATTATGATATCTTCCTCTTTATTCTTGTCGTTACTTTTTCAGTCTTCTCTTTATCTTTTCCTTTCCTTCTCTCCTTTGATTTCTTTTCTTCCCTCTCCCCTCTTTCTTTTCTCTTATTACCCAGCCCGGTACGACGGCTTGGTATTTGTTGATCTATAAGAAAATACCTGTCTCTTATACACATCTAGATGTGTATAAGAGACAGCTGTTTAATTCATATTATTGTGGCTAAGTTTAATCAACCTCCCTCCCTCCCATCAAAAAGAATTTTTTCTCCCCCTTTCCATGCAAAAAAAAAAAGTTCATTCTCTCATTTTTCAGCCTCCACACTCAGTGGTGACGTCTGATTTGCCTGATGTTCGAAGCCCTGGAAACTCTGACAATTTAGGAATTTGAATCACATTCTGGAAATATTACGCCTATACTAGAAATTGCAAATTGCCAATAAAGTACTGCGAAGTACAACTGCATATAAATGTTCTTCGAACAAAATTATTTATGCGAGTCAAGTGAAAATAATGAATAATAAAAATATAACAAATAATATGAGACACGACCCATTGTCTATATTAAAACACTTCTCATTGGGTAACAAAGTCGTAATTTTTCATTTTTGTCAAAAAGTGTCTACAGTGGTGAATTATGGTTTAGGTTTTTTTTAAATAAAGTTTCAAAAATCTCTATGTATGTAGAAAATGTAGTTGATTACCAAAGGTTACAATTTTTATTTTGAAGACTGCATGGTCTAGGAAGTGTACATTTTTTTATGGGGAAAGTTCCAAGGAAGGGCGGGTTTTCTAGGGGCGAGTTGACTGCCAAAGAGTGTTGGCAAAGTGCGAGCCAGCGTGTTATTTGATCACAAGTGCGAGACATCGCAAGTGTGAGCCAGCGAGCCGTGACGTCACGAAAATAGATACGAGACGTTACTCGAGTAGACTGGATTCCAGTCCCTAATCTTCGTCTTAATCAGTTGAAATGCTTAAGAATAAATCGATTTTGGCACAAATGGCGTTCCATATTACTTATTTGCATGGCGTTCCATAGTATACTTTTTCTGGGATTTTTCTAATTCTCATCAAAAAAGTTTCTCAACATAAACTGACGCTGGTGGCGCTTTCCGAAATTCGCTAATGTACTACGAAAAATCCATAAATTAGAGACTTGTGGCAAGTCTATTACTCGAGTTGCGCGTGGTATCGGCTGAGATTTGTGGAGTACAATTCAAAAAACAACTATAGGTCTAATAATGAATTATTGTGATGTTAAATAGACAATGTTAGCTATCAAGGAGCGACGTTGTTTTTCATTGGGACCTTCGTCCCTTCAAGGCTAGGCCTATACCATCCTAGCTAGTCTAAGCCTAGAGTAGGATAAGGCTAGCGCGACATGCGGACGTTGGTACGTGTTGGTTTGTCTACAAACGTCGCCTAAAGTAATTGATTTTACCCGGCAGAACGAAAGAAGGAAACTCCGCTTTTCAGTCGTCTTAGGCCCTTGTTTTTTGACAAACAATGACCTTTCAGAGGTCAAATTGCTGTCAAGAATATGAGTTGTCTGCTTCGCAGCAATTATGGTTCTTGACGAATTGTTTTTACTCCACGACGGAGAAAATCTTCCCGACATGGAGTCCTCCGACCCTCCTGGCACCAACTGCCCAGATTGGAGCTAAATTTTCCTGAACACACACACCTTTTTTTTTTTCTGCCAGACTGGACTACTGCAATGATCTTCTCTTACATATCTTCAACTTGCACAGAAGAGCGCAGCTAGCTCATCACCCGAAAGTAAGATTTCACAACACATCACTCCGACTCTCAGAGAGCAGCAGTGGTTAACTATATCATCTCGCATCCAATATAAAATCCTTTTAATTACATATTAGGTCTGAATGGCTGCGCCTCAATACATCACTAATCTGATTCCGCTTCAAACGCCTTCTCGTAACCTGAGATCTTCTAACCAACATCTACTACTTCATGTGCAGCTCCTATTAAATTCATGGAACCCACTTCCTCTCACATAAAAACTGCCATGAAAGGTACCATTTTCGAAATGCATCTGAACTCATACCTTTTCTGTAAAGCCAATTCCATCACAATAACAGCAAATCGACAACGCCGATATTACAATTAATATTATTATCATTATTATTGAAGAAATATACATTTAAACTTAACGATATCAACCATTTTGTGCACTCTGTAATTATACCGTCGTCATTCCACGCCACCGAACATTACTTCATGTGATGGATTTTGGCGCTATGAAAGTTAATTCGATTGCCAGGGAACCCCGATCTATAAGGGAACCGCCCCCTTATAAGAAAAAGTAATAAAAACAATGTTTATTGTGACGTTTAACTATTTGCTCCATTCCAGCCAATTACTTTTGGAACCACAATAACTCGTTTGCTCTATGTGTCCATATAGCTTTCATTTTTTTTTCTAGTAGTATGGTTTATCGTGTCAAAACACTCTGAAATATCTGGCCGTATGTAACATTAAATGCGAGTCCATAATAATACTACGACAGGGCGCTTAATCCCACAGACATTTAATATTATAGTTTGAATTATATTGTAAACATACAGTGAGCTGTGATGGGCCTAATGGACATAGCATCCGCCCTGATATTAATAATTTGTCATATTATAAGGTAAACCGTCATGCACTATTACAAAAATACCGTCGATAGTTTAAAGGTAAATGACCAATTGATTGTTGACATTCTCTACAAACACATCGTCCTGTTTGATTTTGTCATATGGTTTATTTTGACAGAGTGTTGTCATTCCGCGCATGCTTATTTTAAACCAGGGTATCCAAACGCATACAGTATACAAATGAATACAATTGGTTGCTGCGTCACCTCGAAGATCTGGACAATTTTACTTGAGTATAATAAGAGAAGCGCAGGCTTACAAACGTAAATGAACACTGAATTTTGAGGTGTACAGGCAGTTTTGTTTTCAGGTAGGATCAAGTATTCATTTTTATAATAATAGTAAAAGGTCTATTGTATCACTATACTATATTAATATTGTTATTTCTATTGTTATTGTTATTATCACTGTTGTAGTTTATACTGCGGAAAATGCAATGTGCTTGATATTTTTGTGCTTTTCCAGCCATAGCTGAACAGACATTTTGCCCGCCCACAGTTTTAATTATTTTTTTTTTTTGGAGGAGGGGAAGAGGGCTCTTTTTTTTCTACCAATTTATTTTTATTGTAATCATTGATAAAAATGATAATGCGACAAAAAAAAATGTTTGTTTGCCCTCCTCCACGCGCCCCTAACTCACTGAAAAAACAGGGGCGGAAAATCCAAAAAAATTGTTTTTTTTTTTACAAATTGAAAAAAAAAATGTGAGTGAATTTATCTTTATTTTTTTTTGCCACATGCCCCACAAATTAGTCTAAAGTTGTTGTCTGATGTAAGATATTGCCATTAGATAGGCCTCTGTGGGTTAGGCCTATTTTTTATTCCATCTGATGAGTATTTAAAAAAACTAAATAAATAAAAAAATAAAAAATCTTTTTCCACCCGCCCCTATTTGTCATTTTTAAAAAGAGAAGGGCAAAAAATTATAATTTTATCATCATCATGGTCCTCGTAGTCATCGCCATCAATATTACTATCATTAATTTCAATTGAAATAATTCATCGTATTAGGTATTATTACTAAGTAGGGCCTATATTATTATTGGCTTTATCCATTTCATTACTATTCCATTACCGGTGTTATGTCATTAAATGAATTTTATTCATTTCAGTTGAAAGTGTACGAAAGATGGCGCCATTGTGTTTATTCTTTCTCGCCTGCTATTTCTATCCGTTACCTGCTGGTAGGTACACCTATTAAACGTTTGATTAGAAAGGCCAACTAGAAAATGTACCGTACCTTTTATTATCATTAAGAAATATGGGTTTAATTAGATGTAACAAAAAAAAATTACTGGGTTCATTAGATTATAGTACTCAAGTAGGCCAACCAACGTTTTCTGGCACTCTAGTTTGCCGAATAAAATAGAGTGCTATCTGGCGAATCCAGAAGTGGCAAAAGGGGCTCACACCCACCCCTCCTCTTTAGTAACAAAAATCATTAATCAATCACTGGGAAATTTTAAATAAGAGATTAAATTGGCTAACCCCCCCCCCCTCCGAGGACACCCAAAATAGGCCTAGGTAACGTAACACTACAAAACCTTCTCTGAATCAGGTTAACTTCCCTCTCCACACCTCCTTCGGACCATAGGTATCGATTGCCTCGTGTCACCCTGGCAAAACAAACTGGATTCGCAGCTGATGTGATGACTCTTTAGAGACTTCGTCAAGATCTAGATACAGATTGGAAAATGCTTAGTTAGATATTCTAATCAATTATCACACTTCAAATGACTATGCGATTTGTAGACCTCAATAC